AACCATCATGTAAGTGGTGGGAACCAAACCCAAGTCCTCTGAAAGAGCAGCCAGTGCTCTTAACCACTGAGCCATCTTTCCAGCCCATGTTGGTTTATTTATTTATTTATTTATTTATTTTTGAAGCACTAACTTGTTATGTAGCCCAGGCTGGCCTTGAATTCATGACCTTCTGCTTTTGCTGTCCAAGTGCTGAGATTGCAGGTACATTCTATCAGGCCTGGCTTAGAGAAATTTCTCTTTTTCAATATTTTATTTTTATTTTATGTGTATGAGTGTTTTGCCTGAATGTATGTTAGTGCACCTGTATTGTGCAATGCCCACAGAGGTCAGAGAAGGGGGGTGTCAGATCCCCTGGAACTGGAGTTATGGATGGTTGTTAGCCACCATGTGGGTGTTGGGAATTGAATCTTGGTCCTCTGCTCTCTCTCCAGACCCTCAATGAATTTCTTGATCATTATTTTTCATTTAATTTTTTTTGAACACTGTGTTAAGTCACACTGTGATTTCATCAGACAGGTGAGGAAACTGAGGCACAGTCACCCAGCGTCAGATGTGGCAGATGAGGGCAGAGCTGGGTGTCACATCCACTTTTTAAAGTCTAGAGTATCCTTGCCCACAGAACCTGCTTGTGAGGGTCGGCAATGTTGATGTGAGTCATGTCCCTAGGTGTCTTGTATAGCTACTGAACTCTCACCCACGTCCAGATGTTCAGATGGGCTCAGCTGTCTGTGAACTGCTTCTGACTTGCAAAGAACCAATGAAGCCTCATAGAGAAAAATATCCATTTTATTGAGCATAAGGAGCATGAAGCTGAAGGGCGTGAAGTCAAGAACACGGACAGAAGGATGCCCCGACCTTCAGGGGAAGGAGGGGGGCAGAGGCAGAATTCCTGGATGAAATGGAAACAGCTCCTCGTATCTGCGCTTAGGGGATGTGAGGTGTGTGGTTGGGAGAGAGGTGCTCACGGTCCCAGACTTGGCTTTCTCTCTGGAAGACAGGGCGCTGCTGTGAGGCTGAGGGAGAACTGTGGAGTGTTCTGGGTCTCGGTGCAGTGGGAAGCTAATCCTGGAGGGAAGGCCTAGAGCTGTGAGTCCCCCCAGGCCACTGAGGAGCAGCCCAGCATTCATGCTGATGGGCAGGTAGCTACAATTCTGAGTCCAGGCTGGCCACGAGGCCAGAGGCCAAGGAGGCAGGAGCCGGTGTGCAGAGCTGGAGGTCGGAGTGAGACTCCACATGGCTTTGCCCAGGGAAGGTGGCACAGCCCGGCCAGCCCACTAAGCTTTTCACGACAACACAGACCCAGGAGAGCGCTATCTACAAACACGGCACAGAGCCATGCCATGGCACGTAGGGTGTGGGGACGTGGAAGGGGCAGGTTGGGAGACCTGGAGGCTGGGATGCACCTCCTCTTGGCCACACCTCAGGAACTTTCAGGCCTTGGGGATCCTTTGGGACCTTCTGTGAGTCCCCAGGCAGCAGTAGCGAGTGACTGCTTCAGACCAGAAGCCTCGAAGCCACTCCAGCCAGCTCTGTTGCTCCCGTCCTCCCTCTGCAGGGCAGGCGCCAGGTTGGAAAGGCAGAGAAGAGTCAGACAAACCTTTGAAAAGGACAGTACTCTGGGTGAGAGCGGGGTCTCCGCCCAGCCCCTCAAGCCCTTCCTTCAACTCGGGAGCGCCCCTTAAATCCAGCTTGGCCCCCCAGCCTCAGACCTCACCTGAAAACTGCACGGATTCCCAGGATCACATGATGAGGCAGACTCCAGTCTGCCCAGCCCGGCAGTGGGAGCTGCCGCCGGCTTTCACTGACACCATGACCTCTGACTTGAAATTCCTGGAAAGGAGACAGAGGCCTGGAAGCATTTGAAGGAGGAAGGAGAAGAGGTGACAGCCTCCTCCTGCACAGCATCCGCCAGGCTCTCCCTCCGAGGGTTAGAAGGCACAGGTCCCCGAGGCAGAGACCAGGGAAGGGGCGCTCAGGGCTGCCTTCTTCCTTCTTTCTCCAAACAGGGAGGCCCTGGGCATTCGGAATCCAATGCTTCCCCCACATTTCCACTTTGGGGACCCCTCCCCCCGCCTTTGCTGTACTGAGGATGAATCTAGGATGTCCTGTATGTGAGGGAAGCTCTCTATCACTGAGTTAAAGCCCCAGCTCTTTCGCTGGCCTTTATCATCTGTCTCTTCACCAGACCTCTTATAGTACCTCCGTGAGGTGGGCTTCAGTACCTCACTTTACAGAGGAACAAACTGGAACCAGAGGTGAGCCCTGACTGGCACCTTTCGCTGGCCTTTATCATCTGTCTCTTCACCAGACCTCTTATAGTACCTCTGTGAGGTGGGCTTCAGTGCCCTGACTGGCATGGTCTCCCCGTGGGTGGCAGAAGCTTCGCTGGTCTGCTGCCCAGAGCTCTTCCCACCCCACAACCAGCTGGCTAGGAGAGATGGCTTTGCGTTGTGGCCCTCAAAGCTGCTCCAGCTCCTTCTGAGCGGACTAGCATGGTGAGGCTATCTGCCCAACACTACGTACTGTTTTTTGTTGGCCTTTCTTAGGAGGGTGGGCTCTGAGCAGTAGGAGGACTTCTCTTTGTTCCCGATGTTAAGGCAGCTGGAGCAGCAGCCGCAGGGCCCAGTGGCCAGGGGCCCCTGCTGCATGGGCACCAGGCTGCTGCTGATGCGCAGGGAGCCGTTGACCAGACAGTTGAGTGAGCGGCCTCCAGGGGCTGCTGGCCGGGAGCTGTGTGGGCAGGGCAGTCGGGTCAGTGCAGGGAGGGGGGTGCTCGGGTCCAGGACAGGGGCCTCCGTGATGGTGCTGTCATGGGAGCCTGGTCTGGAGGCTTCGGGGCCTGGGGACACTGGTGGCCTGTTCTCCACCTCTGGACGGACGCTGTGCAGGTTCATGTGGAGCTTCTTCATGTGGTGCACGACTGCGGCCGCATTGAAGGCTTGCTGAGGAGGCAGGAGAGGGTCAGGCTCCACAGCCTCGTGGGGCTGCTGGGCTCTAGCTTTCTTCCCCCCTGGGCTTCTGGAAGCCAGTGTGCCCACTTCCCAGTTCCCAGAAGGTATTGGATGCTTTGTTGCCTGAGAGAGGGGTACCCCAAGAAGCCGATCCACCAGTCCCAGCCAGTCTAGCCTTCCCAGGGCCCAGAACAGCATGCCCAGCCCTGAGTGCAGCTCACCCTCCACTTGCTCTTGGCAAAGTTCTTCTGGATCTGAAGGCTGACAGATGGGTAGATGTCCCGGTGCAGGGCAGTGTTCCCATCAATCCTGTGTATGCAGAAGACCTTAGCTACCCAGTGGCCCTGACAGTCAGTCAGGAGTGGGCAGGGCTCTGAGCATGCAGGACCAGGTTCAATGGATACAATGCCATAAGAGAAGGGTGACTCAGCAAGAAAGGGCTCCTTTGTCCCCTTGGGCATGTCACAGGGGGCTTAGACCTTGGCAAAACCAAAGACTTTTAGAGCAGGGTTGGCAAACTGTGGCCTGGGTCTGCCCACCACCTGCTTTTGCAAGCAAGGCTTCACTGTGTGAAGCCATGGGCATTCACAGATATTCTGTGTGACTCAACAGGGCTGAGTAGCTGCCACAGACATGGTGTGGCCAGCAAAACCTCAGCTGTCTATCATCTGTTTCTTTACAGGAAAAAGTTTGTGGGCTCCAGCATCACAGGGTACCATGTCATCTCTCTTGAACTCCGATCTGTGCCCTGAGCCTAGCCTGTAGAGTTGTCTCTGTGAGGTCGTCAATGAGGCTATTCCTTTCTGCCCTTTGGTCTCTTTTTAAAAGTTCCCGTCAATCCTGTGCATGCAGGTGCACAGGTGTCATGTTAAGTGCCAGTTACCCAAGGTCCTTTGCAAGAGCAGCCAGTATTCTTAACTGCTGAGCCATCTCTCCAGCCCCCTCCCCTTTGTTCTCTCATTCACCTGTTTCTAAGTGCTCCGCAGATATGTGCCATGTGCACCATGTTGGGACAACCACCAGGGGACCTGAAGAAGTGAAAGTCATGGGCCCCTCCTTCCAGGATCCTCTGTTCTAGCTGTGTGGTATTTCATGCCGTGGACAAGAGAAATTTCATGGTAAGCTGGATAGTTAAAAAGAGAGCTGGGCATAATGGCATGGCCTTTTAATTCCAGCACTCAGGAGGCAGAAGCCGGTGGATTGCTGTGAGTTCCAGGCCAGCCAGGGTTACATAGTGAAATCCTGACTCAAAAAACCACAAGAGAGGAGGAAGGGAAAAGGGTCTGTGTGGACCGAGGACTTCAGGGAAGGGATCTGGATCCTAAAGGTGGCAGAGGTCAAGAGGTAGGACATTCTCCATGGTGATAAAGAGTCTGGAGTGGGGTTGGGGGAGGCAGGGGAGAGGTCTAGCTCCTGTCTTTCTAGGACAGAGAAGGTTGATTGGAATATTGGGCAATTGGAGAACAAGGGCCAGGCCAGAGTACGGAAAACCTAGGGAAGCCAAGGGATCTCACTGCTATAGACGGAAGCAACGCGCTCCTCGGGATAGGACAGGGTCGGTTGCCTCTTGGGTAACTGGCACTTAACGTTGTACCACATGGGAACCAACACCTGAGCACAGAACCCTCTGCTTTCACCTCTGGAAGTCACCAGACCACTCAGCTGACACCCTCAGGTCAGACTGGCCACCTGGACTTGAGGAGCAGCTATGAGTTTCCTGGATACCTCAGCGCTGGCTTCCATATCTCAAGGCAGCTGGTTCCAGGGGCTCCAGGGAGTCAGCTTGGCCTTGGGAACCAGAAGGCCGGACCCAGAGCCCGTCACGTCTCACTCACCAGGGGTGCCTGAGGGCCTTCTCACAGGTGTACCGTTCATTTGGGTCCTTCTCCAGCAGGTGGCAAATAAAATCTTTAGCTAAGGGGAACATTAGAGACACAGCTAAGGACCAGATTTCATGACTGATGGAAATTCACTTCTGGGCTGGTGGGTGGTGGCAAACACATCTTTAGCTATTTTTCCAAGGAGGCAGTGTTAAGGACCAGATTTCATGACTGACGGAAATTCACTTCTGGGCTGGTGGGTGGTGGCAAACACATCTTTAGCTATTTTTCCAAGGAGGCAGTGTTAAGAGTCGAGAGAGAGAGAGAGAGAGAGAGAGAGGGAGAGAGAGAGAGAGAGAGAG